GAAACTAAATTAGAACCATCTCTAAGATGTCATGGTTTGATAGTTGAAATCTAAGCAAAAGGAAATGGAAATTTCCCCCTTTTCTCCTTAGTCAAAATCGTAATATAGAGGTTGAGTCCTTGAAAAGGAAGGGAAAAGCAGAAAGGATAGAACAAGAGCAGAGAGATATGTAGGAGGCAAGCTTGGGGAAAACACTAAGGAACAAGAAACAAGTATTGACTGGGCACTTGAAGAGTCGAACCAATCTACATGCAATGGGTCAGGTTCTGGGTCTAAAGTGTTGGTTTGAAATAAAATATGATCTAGTTAGACTAAGATTATTCAAATCCTAGTAGATTAGGTCGACCAAAAGAGACCTTATTATCATTAATTTATCTTTTAAATTTTGAAACATTGATTAAATATACTTTTAATTTTAAAACTATTATTAATTTAGTGACATGTAGAAATTGTATCAAAAAGTGATATAAAAAGGTTATCCTTACAGTATCACTTTTTTTGAATAGTAAATAAAATTTAAAATTTAAAATAGTTAGTATTTATTGGATACTACATTTAAGATTAATTAATAGATTATTTAATTAAATAATTAATAAATATTAGATTTTTAAAGAAAAATAAAGAAAAAATTGAAAATTTTTAATTTTAATTCTTTTGAAAACTTAAATACACCAAACACAATTGAAACTCCTGTGGATCGATCTTGAATCTATTTTCTTTAATTTAAAACTCGAAATAACTCAACCGGATAAACTTAAAAGTTAAGGTCACCAAATCTAAACCTATCCGACTCAATCCTTCAATTAGTTCTCAACAAGAATGGAAAAGAAAACGAGAAGAAAGGAAATTAAGGAAGAGAAGCTGAAAAAAAAAAAGAGAAAAGGGAAAAGTAACAATGCGCACAAAGATATGACAATGGGGAGAAAAAAAACCAAAGAGATAAGAGAGAAGCTGCTGCTGTTTATTATTATTATTATTAATTTTTGGATAATATGGATATTTAAGTCATTGGCTTAACTAATCTAATAGATACTTAAAAACTGCCGGTTTAAAAAAAAAAAAATTCTCTAAACAGCACACAGCAAAAATAATAATAATAATAATAAAAGACAGCAGCAGCTCCTGTATCTCTTTCTTTCCTTTCTCTTTTTTTGTCTTTTTTTTTTTTCCCCTCTTTTATGCTTGTTTTTAGGATGAAGGGAAATCCTACCTGAGCTAACAGTTTCAAAGTTACCTCTAGTTCGAACCCCCAGTCTCCCTTTCTTGTTTCCCTATCATAATATTTATTAAGTATATATTTTAGTTCAAACAAAAAAGAAAAAAAATCAAACTTATTTTAGTATCAGTTCACAAGGGAAAAAAAACAAAATCAACCTTTCTCTCACGCCAAAATAGACTTTTACGCATTTGTATTCATGGGAATGGAAGGACATTGAGGGCAAATAAAGGGATTCTAGTTTTCCAACAGACAGATGCACTGCTGCTGCGTTTGGATTGCTGTGTAATGTTGTATTTTTTTTTTTTTTATAATGAATTATATAATAAAAAATCATCTTTTTCTTCTCTTAATCTTTTTCATCTATCCTAATATTTAAATTAGAAATCTCTAATTTAAAATTTCAATCTCTTAATTATTTGAAATACTCTTTAAATGTGTAATGTTGTATTAATGACTTAACAATTTTTGTAGACCCCAAGTCTCATAATACCCATGTGATCAAAGAAATAAATACATGCATAACTAAACTATAGTTCGAAATATAAGATTGGGTGTGAACTTTTTTCTTTCTTTCTTTGTTTCCTTCACATCATGTCATCAAAATTTCTAGTAGAATCTATATGCAAGGAAGTTGGAGATATGGTTAGGGCAACTTTGATTTCATGATATGTTAGTTCATTTTATTTAAAATTGATCAAACTAATTAAGAATAGAATAAGTAAAAGAGGCTTGGAGTGGTTTCTTTTTCCTAAAAATAAAATTTTGCCGTTTGGATTCTAGGTGTGAAAATTAAGTCAAGTAATCAAAGATTATGATGCATAGACTATACATTTTAAATGGTCAACTGTTTTATAGTTCATATTATTTTAAATTGTAAAATAAAAATTATAGATGAGAGAGGAATCTAATATTAGAAGGCATATCTCTTATGTAATTAAGACTCATTGTTTTATAATTCAAAACAATTCAAATTATAAGACAATTTTTTCATTCTAAATTAGGTGTGAGTTAGTGTTAATTATTGTTTTTTTTTTTTTTATTATTGATTGAATTGTCGAGGGATTTGTTCTCTCTCCTCTTTAGTGAAGAGTACATCAATAGACACTCTAAAATTAATACCGAAAACACAATATAGATTGAGTTTCATGTTTTTTTAATTTAAATTGCATAATTTTTGGATACTAAATTATTGTTAATAAATAAATATAATGAAGAGATTTTAGTTAAGGTAT